AATAAAAAATAATTAAATTGATAAAAAATAATAATAATAATAATAAATAATAAAAATAATTAAAAATAATAAAAATAATGAATAATTATGAAAAATAATAAAATAATGATGAAAAATAATGAAATAATAATAAAATAGATATTTAATGAATTATTTTGTTATTTCTTAGAGTTTACTATTTTTTTTGAGAATTTTTTATATTTTTAATTATTTTTTAAATTCAGAATTTTTATTTGAATTTATAAAATTACTATTACTACTATTACAATATTTTTATCAGATACTATATATTATTATTATTTGATTTTTTGATTACTTTTTCTAATTTAGAGTTTTTTTAATAAGAGTTCTTGATTAAAATAATTAAATTTTCTTTAATATTAGTTTGAATAATTAATTGCTTTTGAAAATTATTTTGTTGTTTTTTTAGTAATTTTTTTTATTTCTTCAATAATTATTATTAATTTTTTATTATTTAATATTACTATATATTTTAAAATAAAAATTATTAAATAAATTAGAATCTTCTTTGAATTCTAAATTAAAAATTATTTTGACTAATAATTATTAATAATTAAAAATATATTTGTTTTAATAAATTATAGTATTTAATAATCAAATTATTTATTTTTATAGTTTTTTAATTTTAATAATACTAAAATTTGCTTCAAAAATAATTGTTCAATAATAAAAAATTTAAATATTGTATCTTATTTTTGAATTTAGTTAAGAAAATTTGTTAAAAATTTAATTGTTATATTAGAGAGTGAATAACTAATATAATAGAAGTATTATTGAATTAATCAAAGTTTTATTAATTAGAATTCTAAAAAAATTTTGATTCAGTTTGAGTCTAATTTAGTTTGAACTTGAACTAACTTGAACCTAACTAAAAATTCAGTTTAAAATAATTTAAACTTCAAATTAAACTTAAATTTAATTAAATATTCAGTTTAAATTCAAATAAATATTTAATAAAGCTCTAAATAAAGTTATAGATCTTAATTAAAACTACAAATTAATATAAGATAATAATATTTAAAATAAATATTCAAAAAGTTATATAGATTTTAAAAATTATTTTTAATTATTATAATTTTAATTCATTTTGTTATATTAGTAATATAAAAATTACAAATTCAAAAATAATTGAAAAACATAAAAATCCTAAAATATTTATATAATAATAAAATTCTCTAGTATTATTTCACTTTTTCAATATTTCACTTTTCACTTTTATAATTAGTTATTTCACTTTTATATATTTTTATAATTATTTATTTCATTTTTTGTAATTTTGAAAAATGTATGCTATCTGAGTCTTAACTTGACATGTTGTAACTGAAAATAAAAATTTCTCTTAACAAAAACCTTCTTTCAAATACTTTTTGCCTCTTATATTTTCTTTATATACTTCAAATTTTGTGTATAAGTAATTTTATATCATATTGAACTTATTAAATTACTAATAACTTTATATTGTATTGCATTGAGCAAATTGCTATTATTAACTTTGGGCTTTATATTATATTGTGCTGAACAAATCACTATTATTGAATTATTGAATTTTATATTATATTGTGCTAAACAAATTGCTCTATTAAAATTATTATAAGTATTTTACTTTTTGTTATTTGAATTTTTAATTGTTAACAAATATTTCTCACTCATAAGAAAAATAAAGTAAAAGAGTTTTTGTTATTATTATTACTAATTATATTATCTTAGTTTTAGAAAGCTTTATACAAGTATAAAATCTCCCTTTAAATCTCCTTTCTTATTTATTTATATCTTTTTCTCCTTTGATCTTTACTTTTTCACAACTCTTCTATATTATTATTTCTTTTTAAGTAAATACAATTTCTGTAAAAATTGACATAGATCTTAGATATCTCTCTTTTCTTTTAATATTTTCTTTATCAGTTTATAATTTTTTCCAACTCAAATTCCTATTTGTAAGCTAATTTCATAATTAATAAATAAACTTGTAACAGTATTACAAATATTTATTTTGTTATAATAAATATAAACTATAATTATAAGTAAATTATAGCTAGAAATAAGAACTACAAAATAATATAAGATAAATACTATTGATAATAATTATTTAAAAAGTTATATAGTATTTACAATCAAATTTAATAATTATAAAAATAAAATATATTAGTTATTATTATATAAACTTTTAATTTTCACTAAATATTACAAATTATACTTTTAATTAAAGTTATAACTCATATTTAGAGTATAGTTGGGCGCCTAAACCGGTGACACTTAATTGTCACGAGTTACGGCTATAGAGTTGTAAAAACCGTATAATCCTAAATTATAACCTAAACCGTGTGCAAAATAGCATCACATAGTTTAGGCATCCAACTATAATTTAGAGATACAAATTAGTATATAATACTATATGCTAATCTTTAATTAAAGTATAAACTAATAGATTCTTTAATAAAGTATAAAAATTATTCATAAAAAGATTTAAATTCTAAAGAATATCTTTGAAAATTCACAAAAAGAATATCAAAATATTATAAGTTTATATACTGTTATCATTTTCGTTGATTTATTAACTTTCAAGTATAGATCACGTGTTTTTCACATGTCTCAATTAAATGGAAGAGTTATTAAAGACTTTTTATGTATTTAAAGTAATTAAGGTTGGAAGAGACTAATTTAATAAAGGTAGATAACGATGTGTTCATTTTGTTGAACTGCTAAAATGAGTTCAGAAATCTTCTTTTGATTCAAATGGTTTAATTGTTAAATAATCTTTTTTATTGATTAATTTTTATTAAAATTATCTTCTTCTTTTATTATAAATCTAAATAATATTAATTAATTTCACAGAATAATGATGAAAGATTAATTATAGATGATGTCGCTTATTACAAATAAGAGGTTTTTTAAATAATAAAGAATACAAATAAGAAAGTAAAAGAGTAATTAATGCTTGACTAAAAATCTCCAACTCAAGCTTTATAATACAACTTACTTCTAAGAAAATTTTGTCAAAGGAAATTAAAAAGATAAGAAGATTCTAATCAAGATAATTATTATCAAAAAGATTAAGTATCAAAAGATTAAGTATATGAGAAAATTATTTTTCTAAGCTAAGATACATATTATATTTATACAAATTATTGTTACTCAACCTTTAATTATTAAAGTTATTTTTGATTGATATTAAGATTATAAAAAGTGCTCGCTTGATGGTTGCACATTACTCGCTTGCTTGATGATTATATATCATTCGTTTTAATGTTACATAAATTTTACTATTAATATTAATCAAATTTGGTTATGTAGATTGATTAACACGTGCTTTTTATATTAATAATAATAATATGAATTAAATATAATTAGTATGATTTATAAATAATATAGAATGAGGTAATATAAAAATAGAATAAAATAGAATGAAATAATATAAATATAGAATAAAAATAGAATGAAATAGTATGAAAATAGTCTAAAATAAAATGATAATAGTATGAAATAAAATGAATATAGAATGAAATAAATATGGATAATATAAAATAAATATGAATATGATTTACAAATTAATTATCCAATGAAAATTAATTATAAAAAGTCATATGATATGCTAAAATTCATATCACAATAATACTAATAATATAATTAACTTATAAATTTAAAACTGGATTAGGAGAAAGAATTAAATATTCAAGTTAAAATTCAGATAATATATATTTTTTAAAAATATAATTTCAGATATAATAACTATTTAAAAATAAAATAAAAATAAAATAAAAGATAAAATAAAAAATAAAATAATTAAAAGATAAAATAACAGATAAAATAATAGCTAAAACAATAATAAAAGATAAATTAATAGATAAAATAATAATAATAAATAAAATAATAATAAAAAATAAAATAAAAGATAAAATAATAGATAAAATAAAATAAAGATAATATAAAAGATAGTGCTTCAACCAAATTAGATCTAATCTGTAATCTAATTTGAAATACACATTTCAGATCAGGTTAGATTGGAATCAAATCTGACTCAAAATATTTTAGGTTAGCCTAAAAAATGTTATTTATTGTTCAATATTAATTGAAATTAAACAAAAATTTATGGGTATATATACAATTACATTCTGAACAATTATATTTAGATACAAAATACAAGTATCTTAGTAAAAATAAAAATTATTAACAAAAAACTATTTTACAATTTTTAGATCAAATCTGATCTAACCTGATCAGAACAAAGCTTTAATAAGAGATAAAATAAAAGATAAAATAATAATATCTAATAAGCTATTTTTATTATTTTTCATATTTTTAATATTTTTAGAAATTTTCTGTTTTTTTGTTATTTTAAAGTTATAATTTTTCTCAAATTTGTGAAATTATTGTTACTACTATTACGATATCTAACCAGGAGTTCACCCATGATTGGGAGTAGTTGAAGAAATGCAAATCAGTACAAGATGTTTCTATTTCTTTGTAAGCCAATTAAATCAGATTAAAATTCCAAATTTAAATTTTTATCAAGAAATTTAATATGTCTTGAGTTTAGCATGATGTATCAGTATATAATCTGCTATTTTATTTTAATTAGTGATGCTTTTTGCATTATTAAATAGTACTTTTATTAAAAATATATTTATATTATTAAAAGATGCATTTACATTATTAAAAGATTCTTATTAAAAGATTCTTTTACAAAGTGTCATTATTAATAAAATTCTTTGTTCTATTCGCACACTTACTTATTCATTACAAATACTTTTATCATTATCCCATTTACGTGATATAAATAATCGATACACAGTGAACCTGAATATAACGAAGTGATCCGTTCCAACCTTTTTATTTGTTACATTCAGGTTTTTATTATATCCAGTTTCCTTTTTATAAAGAAGTCCTATTCAATTTTGTTATAGTTTCGTTAAAGCAGGTTACGATATAAATAATTAATTTTATTGATCAGATAGAAAATTTACTGTATACAATATAAAGAACTACGCATCAAATATCAAATATTCCTTGAGAGTGATTTGTCGCGCCAATTCTGCACTGGTTTGAGTAATCTTTTTTCTCAAATTATTAAGTGTATTTATAACAGAAAAGTCAATGTTCAAATTCTTTTGCGCAATGTATGCAAGCACGTTATCACACCCCAATAACGCTTCAGAGCTTGTTATAATTCGTTCTTCAAAAGGTTCTTCCTCTTCTAATATATCAATATGATTAATCGTATCTACAATCTCCTGGAATAAAATGTTTTCGTCAGTAGAGGAATAAATTTCTTTATTTCTATCAATATCTATGTACTCTTCTATATCGATTGGTTCATCCATTGGCAAACGCTGAATGAGATCTGCTATTCCTCTTTTAATCACCTCAATTTCTTTTGTAACGTATGTCCCAGGGATTGAGGGTAGAGAAACTGGTAAAATATCCGCACGAGTCCAGGATGATATAAATGTTCACATTATTATGCAATCCCATGCTTTAATCACAAAATTAATCGCATCAAGGATAGAAATTTTTGGAATAATCATTGGGTCATTTAATCGTTCGTCATAAAGATGGATGTGATGTGAACATAGTAATCATCGATAATGTGCCTAAATAATAATAAGTAAATTAAGAAATAAAACTTATAATTAAAAATAACATTTTACAGATCTTGAGACTATAAATAATTCCTTCGTCAAGTGGTTAAAGTTAGGTCAATGTATTTGGGGGTAAAAAATGAAGTTTGACATTGGATAATTCAAGATTATTGACTTTGTAACTAGAGACGTTATCGGCTAGCAAAATAATTTTGCGGTTTTTTAAGCGAAACATGTTGTTAATCTTCTAAGGTAACTTTCAAATATAGAGTGTTGCATCCAGACGGATTTATTATAATAATACCATATACCAAGTGTAGTTTTATCAATTCCGCGCAATGATCAAGGATTATTTGAGTTATTTATGAATAGTAAAGATAGCTTTTCTTCCCCCGTTGCGTTACAAGTTGCAAGTATAGACACACGATCCTTCAACAATTTCTTTCCCAAAACAGAGCTGTTTCATTGCAATTAAAAATGTCACACTCATTATAATCTTCTAGAATCGATTTCAAATGTTCACATTGCTCAGGCAATTTGACCACATCGATGCTTCCCACTTCCCCTCGCTTTTTGTAAGATTTTAGATTGTTTCTCTTTTTGAATCCTTCCAACCACCCATTAGTTGCATCAAATTCACGATTATTAAACAAAACAGCAAATTTTCTAGCCTTTTCTCTCAAAATTGAATCAGTTAAGGTCACTTTGTCGCTTACTGTAGTTTCTACCCAAAGACTTAACGCTTCCTCTATATTAGAAAAACTGCTTTGACGTCTTCTTTTAAATGTACCAATGGTGAAGGTTTCATCAATATTAAGCCAGTAGTCACTATTTGACAAAATTTCACTAATTGTTGGTATGGCACATTCAAACTGTTTGGCTAATTCAGCTAGGGATTATCTTTTTTTATTTGTTCTTAGCAGGTTTGGTCACTTCGTCTCTAAACAGGTTAGGATTTACCGTTACTGTAAACTTTTAAATCGTTATATTCTTATTAGCCAACTAATTTAAAACTTCGTTATAGCAAGTAACCAGGTTTTCTTAATTAACTTCGTTATATCCGGGAAACTTTATTAGACAAGGTTTTGGGACATCGAAAAAACTTCATTATAGTCGAAATTCGTTATATCCAGGTTCACCGTGTATCTGATTGTTGATTGGTCTAAAATAGACCGATCGGCACCCGAAAATAAAAATTCATTAACGTTAATAAAAATGATTATTTTTAAATTTAAATAGCTTCACAAAAAACTAAACCATGAATCTGAGAGCATCATTAAAACTATCATTTTCACGGTTTATATTTTAAATATTATCCATCCTATTGTAAACAATATAAATTCAATAGAATCTGCATGTTACTAATCGAATTTTGTTACGATTATATATATCATGCATGTGAAATAAATACGTATTGGTATACGTAATTGTTGGCTGAAAACGTCATCGAAAATATTCTGATATTTAAGAAATGTAGAAAAAAATGTTAGAACTATCAAATCAAAGTTTTTACAAATAATAATAATAATAATGTCCAATCTATCCGCCCGTGGTTGTAAAAGGATTAAAGCTGGAGTTCGAAGTCGTCAAAATACTGGAGAGTCTGGGCATCGTTTGTGAGCATACAGGGTGAGTATTTCTCGCTGAGTTATTTGTCGAGTTGTTGCGTATCTGAAGTTACGCTGCCACATCTTCTCTGAGAAATCGAAAGCGCATCGTGGCCACTCTTAGCAGTGAACGTTCTTTCTAGTTAAGAGGTCCCTCTCTTTGGTTAAGTGCCGAGGGACGTGGTGAATAGGATACACTCTAACTATCGAAGGAACCCCGTGAATTATTCCGGTCTTGGAGCGTCTTTAGTTATGACGCAAATGCTCACTTTTACTTTTTACTATTATCAATTATCTAGAGGCCCAGGTGACAGAGGAACAGGGTAAAATTCGTGATTCAATGTAAAAACTGGATACGAAATATAGGTAATATATATTTGTTGACAAAACTAATCAATATCAAATGATCATAGGATTCTCCGTCGTCCGTGAGATGAAAGGTGTGTTAAGTGAAGAAGAATTAAGTGGAAAGATCAGTATTTTAGTGGGTCCCTTGTGAAATAGATTTACAAATGGTGCAATAGAATCGTCATCCTCTAGAACTGTAAAACTGCAAAGAATGTTATGAATGGTCTAGCATGGTACGCACAAGTACGGGAAATACATGTACAACAATTCTATACGTATACATAAACACATTTTGAGCATGATTTTTTAACATGCGGTTCCATGCTATGCCGATACCAAAAACATGTACTTATACAGAATTTGGCGAATCTTACGTGATTGCTAGATTTTGTTCAGAGGAAATCAATTGTCCTGTAATTAAACTTAAATGAAATGTAATAACATAATCAGTTGTAATTTTTAACATTAAAAAATAATATAACGATAACAATAAATAAACTTCTTATCGTTATGCACTTCGATTTATTAATTTTGGGCTCCAATTGGTGGCGAGTTACGTTTTTATCCTTTACAAAACATTTACCAAGGCATCAGAGTAAAAAAAGTCAGTCAAGAAAGTTATTACATGTATATCAAATCGAATTGTTCTAGCTTGTAATATTTGTTACATCGAGATGTCATTAGACCCGCTTGTATTTCCAATGTCACAAATAAACAAGAAAAGCTAAACCAAAAAAATTGATTTCATTTGTAATTGGAATGTCCAAAGATTTTTTGTCTTGATAAAGTTCACATTTACAGCCTGTATAATATGATGTGTAATAAAATCTTATCGATACTGCATATATATCCAAACTGTAAAAATGGTTAGTTAGGGTGCTGACATATATTAGCTAATATTATTTTGATAGAGGTGCCTCCTCCCCCACCCCAGGTAAGATCTTTTACCCAATCAAAATGCTTAATTTTGTACTACTTAAGATCAAGCTCTACCCCACCCCCTAAAATATTAGTTAACTTCTTTTAGGGGGTGGCTAAAGCCTGGTGGACATGTGATACGTGTTTATCATAGTATCATAGTGTCAAAGGTTGGTTTTTTAGCGTTAGGTTTAGGTTTAGGGAATTGTTTTTGATCAAAAATTTACGCATTCTTATTGGCTTGTTTCTCGAACAGATCACTGGATCTACCAGGCTTTAGCCAACCTCAAAAAACGGAACATGATACAGTGGCAATCAAATGTTTAGCAACACTAATTCGCAATTTTTAAAATCATATCTTTATGAATACTAATCCAATGAAATGATCGATATATCAATTTAAAGCTTAAAACTTATAGAAAATTTTAAAAATAATTAAAAAAATAAATTATTTTAGCCCATTTTGTAAAATTGAATAATTTAGATCAAAAAAATTCAATTAGTAATTTTTTTCACAATAATCAGGATATAAATCTATTTTGACTCATTGATAAAAAATATTTCCCTTCATAAATTTGGTCTATTTACAAATTTTCAGCTTAATTGAATGATTAATTATCGAGATATTTGATCTTAAACACAAAAATTTAGTTAGTAAAAAAAATAAAAAATTAAGTTAATTTTTTTACTAATTAAAATTTTGTTTTTAAGATTGAATATCTTAACAGATAATTATAAATAGACTAAATGAATCAAATAGATTTTTATTCTGGTCATTGTGAAAAAATTATTAATTGAATTGTTTTGACCTAATTATTCAATTTTATAAAATGGGCTAAAATAATTTGTTTAATTATTTTTAAAAATTTTTATAGATTTTAAGCTTTAAATTAATATATTAATCATTTCATTTGGATTAATACATGTATTCATAAAGATAGGATTTTTAAAAAATTGCAAATTAGTGTATCTCACAATTCACTAATCAAATCTGAACAAAAATATGACACATTTGGCTTAGTCACACAAATACTGCACTACTGCTGAATATTTTAATAAAATTCTTTACATTGTTATTGGATGACTTTAGATCATTTACTTCTATACCATTCGATTCGCTAAGGCTTGACAAATCGAATGGTGATATCGGACTCATAAATCATGAGATAGCATGTCCCAAAGTTACTAGACAAATTTTCTTATTTTCTTCATTTTTTAAAAAATAGATTAATATATCACTTAACAAAATTGGATGAAAATAAAGCCACATATTTACTGAGATCTAATGGAATAGTAAAAATTACTATCATTGAATTCACCAAAACTAGTTAAATTAAATGATAATGTGCTTGGAAATAATACATTCGTTTTAATTTGAGCAAAAATTTAAAAATTGATCCAGCAACTTTGAGACGTGATATCTCGTGATCCACAGGTTCAATCTGGATGAAAATACCTCCATTCAATTCGCCAAGACTAGAAGAATCGAATGGTGTCTGAATTGAAATCGTGGATCACAAGATATCGCGTCCCCCGTTTTATCATGTAAAATATATATAATGCATCATTATGAATTTAATAATGTAAAAATTTGAAACTCCCTTTGCAAATACAGTCATCGTCCTCCTTTATAATCACATCCCTTAGGATCCAGTGATGGTGTGACTATATAGAGATGGACTTATATAGAGGGATTTTATTTAATAGTTACATATTTAGTGATCTAGGAACAGAGGGAGGATGATTATATGGGATGATTATAGAAGAGGACGACTGTAACATCCAATTTAGGTGTTCGCATAATTTTGATTTCCCTCTGTATCGAGGAAAAATTCATTGGCATTCATCCACTAACTAGAAACACGCATTTTTACTTTAGTCGAATTTCAAAGTTGTAATATTGTACTCCAAAGCAAGAAGTCGAAGTTCTGTATAACAAATGGAGTCTCAAGTCGCATCAAATATGAGGAATGATACACAACAATCTAAATTAAATGGTTGTACAAGAGTTTGGTTCAAAGAAACGGCAGATTTCATAAGTTGCTAAAGATTTATTTGATCAATTTTTGGAGTTAAGGGCTTAAGGTCGGTATTGTGTAAATTTATATCTTAACCCAATGACGCGTATAATTACAATTAATTATTAATGGTTAATATTAACACTATTACATAGAATACAAAATGTACAACTAAATCATGTCTTTGAATTGACCAAAAGACCGTATTCTGTTTACATCATCCGAATCACAATCATCGACAAAATCACTAATAAAAGCACTTAAATCATCATCCTCAAGTTCTTCGACGCCAGCGTCGAGAAATGGATTGGAATATTCTGGTTGTTCATGAACATTAACCTCATTGAGCTCATATTTTCTTTCTGTGCAATCACCTCCATACCAACTTTTGTTTTCGCAAATTGATTCTCCACGATAGATTGGTGGCGGCGAAGCTATTGGAAGATTTACTTGATCATTAGAAACTCCAGGCTTTCTCGTTTTCTCTTCCGGGAATCCAAGGCATGATTTTAATAAAGCGCTATTATGTTTTTTTTGTGTAGTTCCAATTCGTTTAACACGTATTCCATCAATTACTTTTCCTTTCCTCGGTATTTTTAAAGTTTGAGTCATTACTTCAATCTCAAGTAAAGATCTCGCGTGAAGAGTCGATGATTCGGTCGTCGTTTGGCTAACGATTGAACGACGAGGGCAACATTTTTGTGTTGCGAATGCTGCAGTGTTCTTTTTCCGTTTCCAAATTTGATATGACATGAAAAGAATGAGACTAAAAAAAATAATTGAAAGTGTGAGTGAAATTCCTATATTTGTTGAATGCGAAGATTTTTTATCGTTTTGTTTTGCGGATTCTGTTGGTGCAGTTGATGCAGGTGAAGAATTTAAGGTTTTATAATATGGTATTGGCGGAAGTACAAACGAGGTGATTGTTGATATAACTGTTGTTGATATTGTTGTAATCCCTGTTGTCGTTATCCCTGTTGTCGTTATTGTTGTTGATGACGATGACGATGACGGAGATGATGGCGAGGATGATGAGGATAATGATGTTGATATTGTTTCTGTCATCGAAGAAGATAAAGAAATTGGAGCTGATGATGTCGAACTATATACCTCCTCGTTTTTACCACGGGATACTGATTGTGCAAATATATCAGTTTTTTCTGTATTCGAAACTTGTTTAGCCATTTTGCGTTTATTATGTAATTTTCATATTTCAATAATCATAAATATATGCGTGAATATGCTGTTACGGTTGTTAATGTTATCTCGGTTTAAAATTGGCACAAAAAGTTGACAGAAAAGATGATAAGAAAATTTTGGATTTCGTTATAAAAAAATCAGCATTTCGATGATTCTCTTCTTGAAACAAGACGATCTAACAAACTCTTTCCACTGTGAACAATATACGTACATGTACATACGTATATAGAGTCATGCATATTTAGTTTTTTTTTTTGGTTGTTTTGAATTGTTGTTGTTTCAAGAATAAAAAGAAAAGCCACGAGATTGAGAATGAAAAATAGTTAAATTACGAAATTGAATTAGGCTATATTGAACGTGTGTATCTTATTTTATTTAAATATTCCTGGTCGAACAAACAAACAAATACCAAAATACTGTACATGTAACAATAGCTAGTAAATACGCACGTTGATGTTGTTTCAAGGTTCCACAAAGTCGATTTCTGAAATATTTACTTTCAGGCTTCTTGCCATTATCGCTATAGTCTGAATTAGTGATTTGTGTTGTTTGGTAACGGTAAGCATAAATCCAAAGACAAATATTTTTGATAATTTCATTATTTTTATTTGTTTATATGCATTATTTTTTTTCTCAAGATTGTCACCTAACAATAGCGATAGAATTTGTATAGTACGTATATCGCAATAAAACAACATGATTTATTTGAATAAATAACATTTAGTATTTATGAAGCTTCAAAACTCCACCTCAACGATTTATGGACATCTCGCGAAACATTTAGCAAAATTATTTTCAAATTTGCTCAAAACATGTGTACCGACCTTATTCGCACCCACCCAACCTTTGTAGTCGATTCATGCGATGATAATTATAAAAACAAGCATCCAATAAAAGTACACTAACATATTGTACATAACATAAATGTTGTTATAATTACATGTTCGTATATACTTTAGATAAGAATTTGCCAAATGTGTACTGTAACTTGAAGCATAAAATTCGGTACACAAAGAATATTACGTAGCTCGGTTAATTGAAATTCCAACTCGCCGTATATAAAATTATCTGCGATGATTAATAATAGTTTTCCCAATTTTTTGTTTAATCAAAAGATCAAAGTAGCATTTCAACCATAGATTGAAGAATCCCATTCTATAAAATATGATCGTATTATATTTTTGCATTTCATGCTTGCAATTTTCAAATGCTGAATTCATAATTTTTAAGACTTGACATACGTTCAGTAATTAAATTGTATTGGCTTCTTGTGTCCAAATTGATATCATTGAATATTTGTTAATCAAAAAGAAAATAGCTTGGAATCATATTGATTTTTTTAGTAAGTTAAATCAAAGCAAATGGATTTCTTCAAATTGATTTATAAAATCTGAGAATTCCTAAATGGTATTGGAAGAATTATCAACAATTCATTTTTGTATCCGGAAATACATTGATTATTCTCAATAGACATTGTTCATTTTCAATAGTAAATATAGTCATCTTTTCATACAATTTCTTTTTTATAATCACACATATTTTTTCTAGTTCCAGCTTTTATAAGATATAAATTATAGTTTGAAAATGTTAATTTGTGCAAAATCTAATTTTAATTCATTATTTTGTTTAAATTAAAGATGCAACTTAATTTATTTTTTGAAAAGTAATTTTAACAAGCATAATATTTCTTATTTAAAAGTGTTTCTTGTTTAAAAATATTCAAACAAGCTTAAACAAAACAAATTTAATTTTAGAATTTTAGTTTTAATATAAATTATTTATTAAGAAAAATATTTTTGATAATAAATTTTATATTAAATTTTAATAGCTAAAACAATTTAATATATAGTTATTTTTAATATATAATAGCAATCAGAAATAATGCAACAACATTAAAATTTATTAATTAAATATAGTAAATTGTGAATTTTTTTCTTTATATAATGTTTTTAATTTTACTAATAAATATTTTTTATTTTTACATTAAAATAAAAAATAATATTATATATTCAATTTGATAAAGCTATTCTAATTGCATATAAAGTTAATTATATTTTATATATTTTAATTATAAAAAATAATTAACTTTATATACAATTAGAATAGTTTTATCAGATTAAATTATGTGATATTCTCTTCATTTTAATATAAAAATAAAAAATATTTATTAGTAAAATTGAAAACTTTTATATAAAAAAATCTATATTTTACTATATTTAATTAATAAATTTCAACATTATTATATTATTTTTAATTATTACTATATATATAAATAATTATAATTATTGAATTAAATCTAATTGTAAAATTTTATTTATAATTAAAAAAAGCAGAATTTATAAATAAATTATATAAATAAATATATTATATAATAATAATCAAAAAATAATGTAATAGTATTAAAATATATTAAAAATATATTAAAATATAAGTTTTTTTTATATAAATATTTTCAATTTTACTAATAAATATTTTTTTATTTTTATATTAAAATAAAAATAAAAAATAATATTACATATTTTAATATATATTTTTTTTAGTATTTTAAATTTAATCTAATTAAGTCATTCTAATTATATATATACTTCTATATTATATTACTGGGAATTAAAAAAAATATAGTAAAATATAATAAAATTGATATTATTATTTTATATTAAAATTTGTTATTTTATTAATAAATATTTTTTATTTCTATATTAAAATAATAATAGTAACCTATATTTTTAATATATATTATTCTAAAATTTTCTAGAAGAATATATATTAAAAATATAGGTTACCATTATTATTTTAATATAGAAATAAAAAATATTTATTAATAAAATAACAAATTTTAATATAAAGTAATAATATTAATTTTACTATATATTATTATATTTTTTTAATTTCCAATAATATAGTATATAATGTATATTAAATTATTAATTTTATATATAATTAAAATAACTTAATTAAATTAAATCTAAAAAATATATATTAAAATATTTTTTTTATTTTTATTTTAATATAAATAAAAAAATATTTATTAGTAAAATTGAAAACTTTTATATAAAAAAAACTTATATTTTATTATATTTTATTAATAAATTTTAATATTATTATATTATATTTAATTATTACTATATAAGTAAATTATATAATATAAAAACTTTTAAATTAATAATGTTTTAATTTCAAAATATTATTATTCAATATAGAGACAAAATTTTCAAATTTTATCTTTATATTGAATAATAATATTTTAAAATTATTAATTTATAAATTTCTATATCATACAAAAAATAAAAATTATATACAAATAAATTTTCTTAAATATATTTTTTATAAGTATATATTTATTTTAAATATATACTTTTTCTAAATATATTCTTTGCTATAATTTCAAAAAAATATATATTTAAAAAAATTTTATTTATATAAAAATAAAAATTTAATTATTATTATTAATTTTATATTACAAGAAAATTAATTATAATTATAATTATAATATTTGTAATTAATCAAAATTTTTCTTTTTTCTAGTAATTTTTTTATAATTATATAATTAATATAAATAATAAAAAATTATCAAAATTTATAAAAATTTTGTATTATATTGTTATATATTTTTTATTAATTATAAAATTAGCTAATAAATATAAATAAAAGTTGAAAAAAAAATTAGACAAATAAATGAAATATATCTAAGTTCTGTATTTATATCTATTAATATAAAATAAAAACTAAATTAAAAAATTAAATAATTAAGAAAATAATTATAATAATAAAGTGTATGAGAGAAATAAAGAAATTATAAAAAGGAAATTTGAGTAAATAGGTATTCAAGAAGAAAATTATAAAAGAAAGAATAATATTAATATTTTTATATTTATATTATTATTTTCTAGTCACTTTAATAATATTATCATAAAATAAAATTATAAAACTAAATTATAATAAAGATAAAACATAATAAAATAATATAAAATTAATACAAAACAAATAATAAATAACAAAATAACAAAATAACTATTATGAATTGTTTAGGTACAATTATCAAAACTAAAATATACTATAAAATACTTTATTTATTTTTAACTTATTAATCTGGAATGAGAAACTATTTTTATTTATATATTTTGAATATTGTTACCATTTTGATGGAGCTTTCAAAATACTCAAAAGTATTTATAAAATTTAAGGAATATTCAAAGGGAAACTTCCAATATCTTAATGACAATTTAAAGTCTAATAATACTTTATGGTTTTAGACTGAATATAAATTAAAGTACAACAAGTACTTATAGAATCACTTAAAGATTGGTAACAATTGTATTCTTTAATGCAATAACTGGACTGCTAAAAAGAGTCCCAAAATCTCAATGTCAAATATAATGTATATATTAAAAACGTCTTTAAATCTTTGAAGTCAGAATATAAGATTTAATATTCATATTATCCACAATACGAATCAAAGA